AAATAATCTTTAAAAACAGACTACATTTTACTCCCTCTCCATCCTACCTTCATTACAGGTATGTTCTAATTTTATTAGTTCCATTCCATTGTATAAAATTAATTTCTGCATTGAGAAGGTACTAGTGCTCCATGACAATTTCAATTTCTCTACAAATCTGTTAACACAATGCCAACACAAATTCCAACTACATAAATCTCCCTGCCCAGAAGAAAGGGAATGCTTCAAAGCAGAGATAATACCTGAATTGGATACTGAAGGAAAAACAGGAATTTGTCAGGTGGAGAGGAGGGGGAAGGGCCTTCTAGGCAGAAGAAACTTCGTGCAGAAGACTTGATATTTCTACTATATCGTTTTGCTTTTTCTTGCAGAGAAGGGAGTAGTGATGCTAATGATGCCTAGAATAGCAACAAATGAGACTAGTAAAGGCACCATAGGTCACATCTGATCAGATGTGAATGCAGTGATATGAAACTTATTTTATTTTATTTATTTATTTTATTTTCTGAGATGGAGTCTCGCTGTGTCGTCTAGGCTGGAGTGCAGTTGCACCATCCCAGCTCACTGCAACCTCAGCTTCCCAGGTTCAAGCAATTCTCGTGCTTTAGCCTCCTGAGTAGCTGGGACTACAGGTGCCCGCCACCATGCCTGGCTAATTTTTTTGTATATTTAGTAGAGACGGGGTTTCCCCATGTTGGCCAAGCTGGTCTTGAACTACTAACCTCAAGTGATCTGCCCACCTCAGCCTCCCAAAGTGCTGGGATTACAACTGTGAGCCACCGGGCCCGGCCAAAACTTGTATTTTATTCTGAGAACAACAGAGAACATTAAGGAGTGAGTGCGTGTGTGTGTGTATGTGTGTGTTTCTGTGTGTGCTGACCCCATTTGTACTGAGAAGGCCAACAAAATGGGGATAGGGAAGCTAGAGGCCAAAGACCACTTTTCAAGTACAGTTGGTTGCAACTCAGTGTAATCAATTTAGTGGGTGACATCATCAATGTCTGTTTAAAATGAATTCAAATGAAATAGAAAATATCGGAGGTTCCCTCTCTCGGCCTTGGAGCCTCCCTCCCTTGGTCTCTGTACAGAGGAGCTACTTCTTTCTTCCTTCTCCCTTCTTTCTTGCCTATTAAACTCCCTGCTCCTTAAAACTAAAAAAAAAGAAAGAAAGAAAAGAAAGTATCAGAGATTACCTGACATTACAAGGATAAATTTTACAGAACTTTTGTACCAGATTCATGTGTCCATTCACATGTCCATTCTAGTCACAAAGTAACATGCATTTGTTACTATGGGTCAGGGTCAAAAAAAGTTTGAGTTAGGTGACTGAGCAGGTGAAGGGGTGAGGGAAGAGACAAAGGAGGGCTCCCAGGTTTCTGGCGTGGGCATGATGCCAGTGGCCAAGATAGGGAATAGGGGAGGAGGCCTGCTTTTATCAAGTCCACGTGGGGATGCTGGACAGCGAAGACAGTGGCCTTTCTCAGCATTTTTTCAGCAGCCACAGTCAACACTAATCTTGTTCAGCAAAGACAATGAACACATAGTCATTGCAGCTGCAAGCTCAAGTAAATATACAACTGATAAGGGTCCTTTAGGAGCTGGAGGGCGTCCCAGTCCTAAATCCCAAACCACAGAAAAACTGTGAAACTAAAAAAAAGCAGACAGGATAAGTGAAACACCATTTCTTCCAGGGAACTAACAGGGTGTGAGAAATCTTATCCTTATTCTAAGAGTCAACAGGGAACCCTTACCCTTGGGAACCTAAGCAAACCTTCTGAAAGGTCAGCCACCAGGGTATTTTTGTTTATTAAGAGTTTGTTTGGGGCCGGGCGCGGTGGCTCAAGCCTGTAATCCCAGCACTTTGGGAGGCCGAGACAGGCGGATCACGAGGTCAGGAGATCGAGACCATTCTGGCTGACACGGTGAAGCCCCGTCTCTACTAAAAAATACAAAAAACTAGCCGGGCGAGGTGGCGGCGCCTGTAGTCCCAGCTACTCGGGAGGCTGAGGCAGGAGAATGGCTTGAACCTGGGAGGCGGAGCTTGCAGTGAGCCGAGATCTGGCCACTGCACTCCAGCCTGGGCGGCAGAGCCAGACTCCGTCTCAAAAAAAAAAAAAAAAAGAGTTTGTTTGGTTTTGGTTTTGTTTGGGGGAGGAGGCATTATTTCTACTTTTCTAACTGTTTTCTAAGCCTCCTACCCCACCCCACACTACCACCTCCAAGAGGTACTTCAACCCCTACGCTTCTAGCAAGTCCACTGAGTCCTGTAACCTTGATGTGGCTATCCTTTGGTTACCCTCCTGGAGCTTCAGGCTAAAAGAGCAGGGCCAATAGAACATGGCTTGGGGGGGATCCATCATTCCTCCTAACTGCCTGCCCCGCCCCCCGTCCCCCTCCATTCCATTAGACGAAAGAGTTCTCCAATTCTTGAAGTATCACAGCACAACTGAGTCCCAAACTAACTACTTTCCTGGTGACCCTTCCACTACATTCCTCAGTAAACCTGCCCCAGACATGTCAGGCAACTGGCTGCCCTCAAATACTCCATGTTCTTGTACATGTTCTATCTTTTGTTCTCAATATTTCCTCAACCTAAAATGCTCACCCTTTCTCTGACAGAAATTCTAGTCACTCTTCGTGGTGCATCTCAAATGTCACCTCTACCACAAAGCCACTTTTTATCCAACACTCCACCCCATCACCAAATCTGGATTTAGTGATACCACTTCATGCTTCCACTGCATCTGCCTGTGTCTTGGGCACAGCATTTCTTTCACTGTCATGCATTATAGGCAATCGTGCTTTTATGTCGTCTGTTTTCCACTAGACTTAACATTTCTTGAAGATCCAGACACAGAGCCTGTATCTGATTTGCCCAAAAGAAACGACCAGAAAAGAACACATGTCATACCCTTCTCTCCAACATCCCATGGTCCTGCACACACAGGAGGTCCTCAAGAAGAGCGTGCTGATTCAAACTGAAAAGCTACAGATTCTTTCCACCAAACCCTGCAGACCATCAGTTAGGGGAGAGAAAGAGCGGAAGGGGAATCAAGCGTAGATTTGAAGCAGACAGCTTCCCTCTCTCGATTGAACTAGGGGTGGTACACCCAACTCCTCAGAAATTAAACCAACCTCAGCAAGGAAGATTCAGCAGGCAGTTTGGAAACTTTAAAGAACTATAAGTAGTTTCAAGGTTCTCCCAGCTGCTGTTAGTCAGGTATTGACCTTGGGATGTGGTCACAGGGATTATATATTTTATTTTGCCATCCACTCCCTCTAACACTGATACCTCTAGCTATATGGGCAATAAAGAGTCTTTCATACAGGTTCTGAATATTATCTTTGAGTTCCTCTGGGAACACCCTAGCCTTCTTGCAACCCTCCCACCTTTCCAGTGAGTAATTTTACAGTGCCACCTCTGCCGTCCTCCTCTCCTGAAAAAGCACTTTTTCCCCTCAATATATCCAGCTTCCCTCCCTGAACGCTATGCCCTAAGCTTCACCATTAAGACAATAGGAAGGCAGTGTGCCTTCTAAGCTGCCTGATGCGTGGCACATTTCAAAGAACTAACAGGTAGAAGTATAAGGGTTTTGATAGTTGCAGCTTCCTTTGTGATCCTATAAGTACTTCTCACTCATATTTATTATATAACTTAGGCATTCTGATTTATAATTGACCATTTTACACAACTTATCTCCCTCACTTGACTGTAAGCTTCTTGAGAACTATTCTCTAATTCCCACAAAGTGCCCAGGACATGGTGTGTACTTAATAAACTACTGCTTAGAAAAAGATAGCATAGGCTGGGCACGATGGCTCACGCTTGTAATCCCAGCACTTTGGGAAGCCAAGGCAGGTGGATCACTTGAGGTCAGGAGATTAAGACCAGCCTGGCCAGGATGGTGAAACCCTGTCTCTATAAAAATACAAAAAAATCATCTGGGCATGGTGGTGGGCTCCTGTAATCCCAGCTACTCAGAGGGGCTGAGGCACGAGAATCACTTGAACCCAGGAGACGGAGGTTGTAGTAAGCCGCAATTGCACCACTGCACTCCAGCCTAGGCAGCACAGTGAGACTATGTCTAAAAAAAAAAAAAAAAAAAAAAAAAAAGCATAAAATAAACTGCCACTTTAGGCCCCCTAAGCCAAACTCAGTGTAACTGTGTGAGTACAGAGGAAGAAACATTTCAGAGGTGATCAAAACCAAAAAGTATATAGTAGTCAGTTGTGCGATGCAAAGGCTCAGCTGAAGGCAGTCTCAAACAAGGGTTCTTTTGACAGGGCAGCCATTCCCATGTTCCTCAGATACTCACTATGGTCAAAGTAGTAAACTTAGTTCTCCAGAATTTACTTTCCCAAGATCTGGCAGTTCAATAAATACATTCCCCAGCCCCCCACTTCAACGACTCTCCTATATCCTTCTGACCTTTAATACTGTGTAACGTTAGATGAAAAATTGATTTTTTTTGGCTACTTATTTCACAGCTGAAGAAAAAATATACTGTTTAAGGTGTTAAATATTTTTACATGCAACAAACCTGGCATGAAGCTAACTTGTATGCACATTTTAGAGGTACAGGCGTAAATGTCAGTGCTATAATTTGTTATAGGTTTCTGATGACCAGCAATGAAAATGACCACGGATTCTCACAATTCAAACCACTTTTACGTAAATGTGAACTTTCCTAAAACAGCCAAGGGAGAGAAAACTTTCCATCCAAGCTCATAGCGTCTCTTAAGAGATACTGATAGCATTGTTCACTGGGTTAGGTGTTCTTTGAAAAAATCCTATAAATATTAGTTTTCTTCTGGGCCTATGCTTTGACCTTTAATAAAAATGTGCTTTAAGACACCAGTTATTAAAATGAAAGGAACAGTTTTTAACACCTGAACAACTGCCATTTCATATAATCAGCCCTGCTGAGGGCTATACCTTACAAGTCAACAGTGTTTAAAAAAAAATACATTTAGTGACTTCATTTAAATTGCTCACTTACCAGACATGGAGTAGGGTTATAAGAAACCATGAATTGAACGTATCAGGCATCTGACACCCTAGAAAATAACAATAAGGTATAAGTATGTGAGGGTTTAAAGGAGGCATACTGACCATATTTTAAACATTGGCAGGCACGGTACTTACAGCGCTCTCTGATTATGCTATTGCAGAAAATTCCAGTAGAACAATAGGGAGAGACTATGGGATAAAAGAACATTGAATCATAGTGCGCCAGGAGTAAAAGAAAAAAAAAGGATGGATGCGGTGGTTCACACCTGCAATCCCAGCACTTTAGGAGGCCAAGGTGGGCGGATCACCTGAGGTCAGGAGATCAAGACCAGCCTGGCCAACATGGCGAAACCCCATCTCTACTAAAAATACAAAACTTAACCAGGCATGGTGGTGGACACCTGTAATCCCAGCTACTCAGGAGGCTGAGGCAGGAGAATTACTTGAACCCGGGAGGCAGAGGTTGCAGTGAGCCAAGATCGAACCACTGCACTCCAGCCTGGGCAATAGAGTGAGACTCTGTCTCAAAAAACAAACAAACAAACAAAAAAAACATTGAATTCAGTCTGACCACCAGCCTTCTAGTTCTAGCCCTGTTACCAGCTTGTTATGTGGCCTTGGACAAATCACTTCTGCCCTTTGAGTCTTGGTTTTCTCACCTTGCGGAATGTGGCCTAGATTATTTCTATGGTTCCTTCTAGCTTCCGTGTGACTCTACAGTATTTTCCCTCCATGGGCTTGAATTCTGAAAAGCTAGGCAAACACTCCCTCACTTTTTTCACTTGGGCTGCACTGAGAGGCTTAAGTCTTTCTAGTATCCTTTTCCTGTCTTCTTTCTGTAAGGTACCCAATGTGCTATGGATATGGGTGTGCTAAATGATTTGCCCAAAAGAAATGACCAGGAGCTGGGTGCAGTGGCTCACACCTGTAATCCCAGCACTTACGGAGGCTGAGGCGGGTGGATTGCTTGAGCCCAGGAGTTTCAGACCAGCCTGGGAAACATAGTGAGACCCCGTCTCTACAAAAAAATACAAAAATTAGCTGGGCATGGTGGCATGCACCTATAGTCCCAGCTACTTGGGAGGCTGAGGTGGGAGGATCACTTGAGCCAGGGAGGTGGAGGTTACAGTGAGCCAAGATCACATCACTGTACTTGAGCCTGAGTGACAGAGCAAGACCCTGTCTCAAAAAAAAAAGAAAAAAGAAAAAGAAAAGATCAGGCGAAAAAAGTCAGGGCTCTAAGGAGCTGCAGCTGAATAAGAAAGCATATTGTATTTAGTGAAAGGCTGTTCATCACCCCCCAGAAATAACAAAACTGGGAAGGGCTTCTCCTTGGTTTCAGATCCCACAAATTAGTTCTGTGCCCGGACATCAAAGCCTCTCAATTCTCACTCAGCTAAGAAAAGCCTCCTGCTGGATGAGGAGTCTCCCACTGAATGTGCCCTCCTTATTACATAACAGGGAGAAAAGCCAGAGCAAGAGGAAGATGCAAAAAGAGAATAAATAAGTGGGGAATTTGGGCCCTTACGGTAGAATTTGTCCTTTGGGGCAATGACTCAAGAAAGAAGCAGTATTCTCTGCTTTTCAGCAACCATCAAGGTATACGAGGTACTAAATGATAACAAAGAGGGGTCACTAGGAGATAAAACATAGGCCCGGACCCTTGTGAGGTACATTAACAGCACCAGTAATAAAGAGCTGTAATTCACTGCAGGCTTACTACGTGCCAGATGTTCTACTGGGTTCTTTACATCCATGAGCTCAATGAATCCTCCCAACAACCCTGAGGTAGGCATTGATATCCCAAATTGACAGGTAAGAAAAGTGACTCAGAGAGACCAAGACAATTGCTGTTCAAGGTCATGAAAAGAGACACCTGAGATCAAATTCAGATCTACTTGATTCCAAACACTGTGTTCTTAATCCTGCTCTAACAGCCTCTCTAATACCACTATCAGAAACTAACACTAAGAGCCCATCTGCATACCAGATCTACTGCAAGCCATGTCAATACATTATCTCACTCAATCCTCACTTTAACCCTGGAGGGAAGCATTATACTCCTCATTTTAGAGATGAGGAAACAGACTCAAACTAAGTAACATGTGGGCAGCCACAATATTAACAAGCTAGTGGCAGGGCTGCAGTTTGAATCCAAGTCTGTCACAAAGTGACACCAAAATACTTTGGTGAGCTTACTGGGAGGTGCCTAGCAGCTGTCAAGTTGACTTCCTCTCAGAGCCCAGCAGGAGGGAGCTGAAGGCTGGTCTGGCCAGCCATACAGCTATTAAGACACATGCCATCTGAGAATGGGCCAACCACCCTCCACCTAGACGAGAATAGCCCTGAGAAACTCTCAAGCCCGGATCTGAAGTTGGGTCTTTTTTGGATGCTAGAACAAAACATTAAAAAGAAAAATTTTCTTGGAAGTCTGTCTTTCAATCTGGAAAATGAAATTTGGCTGCTTCTAAAGGACAATCTGTTCAATTGCTACCTCTACATCAAAGCTTCTCGGCAGCCTGCAGGAGCCTTTCCAATTTTCTCAGAGAGGGAATCAGTTCTTGGGCTGGAAAGCACAGACAGACAGACAGGCCAGCAGCTGGACGTGGGTCACAATTTCCCCTTCTGGGGTCACCTCAGGGCTGAGGGTGGGAAAAGTGCTGGCATATGATTGAGTCCCTATACACACTGGTGTCAGAACAGAAACCCACAGGGTAAAGCCCTAAAAAGTAACACCAATGACTGTTGACTGTGAACTACGCAAAAATACAGCAGATTCTTCAGTGAAATGCATTTAAACATTTCAAAGTTAAAACCTGCTGTAGTATTTTGCCACGATCACACTCTTGCTCCAATGCACATTCAGTGCTTCCGTTTCTGAAGCTAGGCACTTTCTTTCTTGACATCAAGTTGGATACAATTAAATAGTTCATTACTGTTACGGGAAGGCAGCATAACACGGTTGTAAATTTAATGTGGGGTCAGACTGCCTGATTCAATACTTTGACTCTACCTCTCACTCACTATGTGACACTGGGTAAAATTACTCAATTTTCTTCTCTGTAAAAATGAGAAAAACAAGATAACTGACCTTGTAAGATTTTTGTGAGAATGAGATAAGGCCTATAAAATGTTTAGCAAAATGGTTAGTGTTAAGTTAGTAGGTACTCAATAAATATTCACTATTGTTGGTTTTCAGCCAATTATTTAAATAGAATTGAAATTATCTTTGAAAAACCTCATTAATTATTTCAGATTGTATCAGTGATAAACCTCAACCACAGACTCAGAGTGTATTCATTAAAGAACCTCCTCTCCAATGCCTCTAGTCTCTTAAGGGTTAAAGACAAAGCAGTCTGCAGACAACACTGTGGAATTAAACAGGAACTCTACTGACTGACCACCTCTGCTCCAAGTGCTCTTCAGAGCAGAACATCTCTAAAAGACCAGTCAGCAAACCGCTGTGTATTCATCAGTGCAACACGCTCAGACAAAAGACATCCTCAAAATATCTAAGAAACAGCGGGCGGCTAAATTCTCAGGACTCCAAAAGTTAAGCCCTAAAATACCACAAGTCCAAGTGAGCAATGACCACTTTAAAAAGTACAATCTTGGGAAGCAATATATATATTGCTTTCTCTTGTTTCGTTTCTTTTTTTTTTTTTTTTAAATTTATTTATTATTATTATACTTTAAGTTGTAGGGTACAAATGCATAACGTGCAGGTTTTTTTTTTTTTTGCCCAGGCTGGTCTTGAACTCCTCAGCTCAAGGGATCCTCCTGCCTCGGCTTCCCAAACTGCTGGGATTACAGGTGTGAGCCACTGCACCCAGCCCCTTTCTCTTATTTCAAACCTGTCTCACCTACTCTTTAGAATCCAAGCCACAGGAAAGTCAATGTAATTATTTTAAAGATATTTGTAATCTTCTGCCTCCAGATGGCATATTCTAGATTTGTTCTCTTTTTATTCACTAGCCAGTTTGGAAGCACTTTGGTTTGATATGAAAACTTAATCTACCCACAAATGACTAAGATGGGCCACAATAGAACGTAATAAAAATGAACATGCTATAGGTCTCAAAAGTAAATTCTCAAACTGAGTCTCAGAAAACCTGAAGAGTGGCGTTACTGAAAAATTTACTTTCTCCCTAGGTAACTACTTCAAAGGCTAAGCTAGGACAAAGCTCACCAATAGGTACACACTATAGTTAGTATAAACATCAGTTTCCAATACCAATAGAAAATCTCACAGAGATAGTTTGCATTTAAATATAACAAAATACAGAAAATACTAAAATGTATTACATTTTCTAATTTGCAATTACACTCATTCACAGGCAATATGTTATAGTGGAAAAATCCCTGGATTTTAAACCAGACAACACAGGTTCAAGGCTTGGCTAGGCAACCCTGGGTGAGTCACTTAGCCTCTTCGAGGCTCAACTGTTTCTGAAAACAAAATAAAACAAAATGAAAATAATACAAGCCCTTCCTAGCCCACAATATTTTGTAACTCCTAAGTGAGACAAATGTAAAAGCATACTATGTGAGCTAATAGTATAAAAGTTATTTATAAACTTTTCTTAAGTTTTATAAGTAGTTTACAACAGGCTATGAATTGAAACACGATATGTTAAATATGTAAAAAGTCTTATTATTCAATACTATAATATTAACTGAAGAACCTTCAATAATGAACAGCTGGCCAAGACAAAGATATCTAGTAAACATCTTTTCAAAATAATTCTAAGAAATGTCTGAGTTATTTATTGAATCAAATATAAAATAGACATTAAATAGATGTCTGAGGATAAGGGTTGTTGTTTTTTTGTTTTTGTTTTTGTTTTGTTTTTTTGAGACGGAGTCTTGCTCCGTCGCCCAGGCTGGAGTGCAGTGGTGTGATCTCGACTCACTGCAACCTCTGCCTCCCGAGTTCAAGTGATTCTCCTGCCTTGGTCTCCTAAGTAGCTGGGATTAGCCCACCACCATGCCCAGCTAATTTTATTGTATTTTTAGTAGAGAGAGGCTGGTCTTGAACTCCTGACCTCAAGTGATCCACCCGCCTCAGACTCCCAAAGTGCTGGGATTACAGGCGTGAGCCACCATGCCCAGCCTGAGGATGAGGTTTCAAAAAGACATGATGAAAAATACTTCACACACGGATTCACGAAGGCACTTAAAGGAAAAAAAAAAGGCCGGGCGCGGTGGCTCAAGCCTGTAATCCCAGCACTTTGAGAGGCCGAGACAGGCGGATCATGAGGTCAGGAGATCAAGACCATCCTGGCTAACACGATGAAACCCCGTCTCTATTAAAAAATACAAAAAACTAGCCAGGCGAGGTGGCGGGCGCCTGTAGTCCCAGCTACTCGGGAGGCTGAGGCAGGAGAATGGCTTGATCCTGGGTGGTGGAGCCTGCAGTGAGCTTAGATCCTGCCACTGCACTCCAGCCTAGGCGACAGAGGGAGACTCTGTCTCAAAAAAAAAAAAAAAAACCAGGCTGGGCCTGGTGGCTCATGCCTGTAATCCCTGCACTTCAGGAAGCTGAGGCAGGATCACTTAAGGCCTACGACCAGGAGTTTGAGACCAGCCTGGGCAACATAGACCCTGTCTCTACAAAAAATAAAAATAAACAAATTACCCAGGCATAATGGCATGTGTTTGTAGTCCCAGCGACTCAGGAGGCTGAGGTGGGAGGGCTGCTTGAGCCAGGAGTAAAAGGATGCAGTAAAAGGGCTAGAGCCACTGACTCCAGCCTAGGCGGCAGAGCAAGATCGTCTCTAAAAAAAAAGAAAAAGAAAAAAAGCAGTTTCTAATATTAATAGCTTCATCAGGTAGAGAAAAAATATTTTTTCCTTTTGGACTAACTTATCCTAGACTAACAAAGAAGCAGGAAAATATTCTTTCCAGGTTATGAATAAAGAAGAAATGAAAGGTGGACATCAAATTGGAATTATAATTCAGTATGGTATTTTAGTTTTTGGTATCAGTCTGCTGAGACAGTAAAATAAACAAAATAATTTGTATTTATTTGATTTTTAAAAACTAAAATAGGCCAGGCCCCATGGCTCACACCTGTAATCCAGAACTTTGGGTTGGGAGGTCAAGGCAGGTGGATCACGTGAGGCCAAGAGTTTGAGACCAGCCTAGTCAACATAGCCAAACCCTGTCTCTACTAAAAAAAATACAAAAATTAGCTGGGCATGGTGGCATGCACCTGTAGTCCCAGCTACTCAGGAGGCTGAAGCACAAGAATTACTTGAAACTGGGAGGTGGAGGAAGCAGTGAGTCAAGATGGCGCCATTCCACTTCAAACTGGGCAATAGAACAAGACTCAAAACAAGTCTCAAAAAACAAGACGAAACAAAAAAATAGTTATTAAATAACCAAAATTGCATCCAGCTTTCTTCACTGTTGTGAACACAATTATATGTAAATATTTGCTGCTAGAGAAAAATCTCAAATGTATACATTTAGGTGTATGCTGCTTTGAGGATGTGACTATTACCACAGAAGTACACAGCATACATTTCCTTCCAAAATCTGTGGAACTGGAAATGATTTAATCTCTCCCAATTACAAGTACCTGCTTTAATTAACTTTGTTAATAATATAACTGTTTACAGCATCAAAATTAATACTGTGATAACAATCAACTGCTTCTGATAGTCTAAACCAGCAAAACCCTTTTGGAAAGCAATTTATCAATGAAGTAAACATAATAAAATTATATGTGCCTTTTGACCCAATCATCTTTTAACATGAGAAAAATCATAATCCAGGATTAATTATGGATTAATTTTAATTAATCCAGGATTAATTAAAACAAAACTTAAAAACAAAAGAGGAATAGCTGGCCAAAAGTCCATGTCAAAATGCTAAGTAAAACATCCAGAATGGGCCGGGCACAGTGGCTCACGCCTGTAATCCCAGCATTTTGGGAGGCCAAGGAGGGCGGATCACATAAAGTCAGGAGTTTGAAAACAGCCTAGCCAACATGGTGAAACCCCATGTCAACTAAAAATGCAAAAATTAGCTGGGTGTGGTGGCACAGGCCTATAATCCCAGCTATTCGGGAGGCCAAGGCAGGAAAATCGCTTGAACCTGGGAGGTGGAGAGGGAGGTTACACTGGGCCAAGATCACACCACTGCACTCCAGCCTGGGCAACAGAGCAAGACTCTGTCTCAAAAAAAAAAAAATTCCAGAATGTAAAACAGAGTATGTTTACTATGAATACTCTTATGTAAAAAGATGCACATGTGGACAAGGGAGATAATGTCAAAGTACAGTTTGTTTGTTTGTTTTTTCAAAATAAGCAAAATGTTTTATTTATAGGATCCTTTTGCTCTCTGTTTACCCTATTAAAAAAGAAAAGCAGCTTGGTACAGTGCCATGTGCTTTTAGTCCTAGCTACTATTCAGGAGGCTGAGGTGGGAGGACTGCTTGAGCCCAGGAGTTTGAGGCCAGCCCAGGCAACACAGCAAGACCCTGTCTCTAAAGAAATACATACAATAATTTTTTTAAAGAGAAAAATAGGCAGTTTGGATTATATGCTTTGTGCAGGAAAAACTGTTTCACTAGGGACTAAAAAAACCTATCGTATTAAAACACAATCATAAAAATGAAATGTAGATTTGTTCTCCTTCTCAGTACTATCAAACAATAACTTACTTAGAAAGAATTCCTCGAAGTCAGTTTTCTCCACACAGCTAGTATACATGCGCAGGGCCGCAATCTTAATCTTCTAGACAAAGAGAATAAAACCAAACTCAAGACATGACCAAGTGGATGTTCTATTTCCATTAGACATGGGTCACAGAATGTTATATTTCTTCAACTAGAAGGAAGGGTCCAAACCTCTCTCAGGTAATTTAAACCAATACAAATATTTTTTTGTTTTCTTAGAGTTTAGCCATTCATACAGACTTCACACAATTTTCATATTTTAGGACTTCAGCATGAAAACCTCAGAAAGGCTTTTCCAATATTTAAATGAAATCTCTCATTTAACTCCAACCTACTTCACCACATTTGTGCCTCTAAATCACTGTTCAGCATTATCCACACTAACTCTTCAGTATCTGAAATCCTTTATAGAAAAAAATTACACATTCTTCTGGCCAAAATCAAACAAAAACCCTCAAGCCTTTAATCTTTCCTCAGAGGCACTACTATCTATTCTATAAATCTCTGGGCAATGGAATAAGAGGTATCTTTTTTCCAGATTTTCTTTAGTTTTATAGTTTGCTGATTAACATTGTATCTGTAAATAAGGGTTTCTAATGACTGCAAAATATAAGAATCAAACTTTTACTATTCCCAAAGCACTAGGAACTCTCTTAGGCTTTTGATATGAGTGGTGGTTTTAATTTATTCACTGAGCTGTATACTTAAGATTTGTATATTACACTGTATATAAATTATGCCTTAATAAAAATAAATCTAAAAATAAATTATTTAAGAGTTGACTTATAGGTCTGAAGACCAACTCAGCACTACAGGAACAGGTATTTTAAGGACTTCCAAACATTTCATTAAGGATATAACTAAATAAATGAGCACATCAACAAGGCTTCTAGAAGCTGATTTTTTCTTAAAACAACAGGGAAAGTTACAAACTCAAATATGCATAGACTAAAAACAAATGTATACAGGCTGAGAATGACATAGCAACTGAAGAAAAACCAATCTAGAACTTAGTGGAGCTATGATATTAAGGTTTAAAGTCACCAAGAACATACTATACCCAAAACTATATAATGTTCATATTTTTCTATATTCTCTAGAGTTAAAGCAAGTGTCTCTGATGGGTAGAAATACCCATAACAAATTAAGGAATGATTACGTCTCTGATTGTAATTAAGATATTTTATATGATAATTTGAGATCTGTCATATTTTTAAGAGCTTCCAGTCTAAAGTTAATACAGGGGAAAACAGGACATATAGAAATAGACAATAGAAATCAGATATCCCTATCTGGGGAGTAAGTCAGCCTAAGCCCACATTTAAACAAAACCCATGATGAAACACTAGAAATGAAAAGCAAATTAAACCTAAAAGCAAGCAGAAAGAATGATATAGTAAAGAGCAGAAATCAACAAAACTGAAACAGAAAAATAAAATATAGAAAATCAAAGCCAGGTCAGGCGTGGTGGCTCATGCCTGTAATCCCAGCACTTTGGGAGGCCGAGACAGGCAGATCAGCTGAGCCCAGAAGTTGAAGACCAACCTGGGAAACATGGCAAAACGTTTCCATCTCTACCAAAAATACAAAAATTAGCTGGCCATGGTGGTGCGTGCCTATAGTCCCAGCTGCTCAGAAGGCTGAGACAGGAGAATCGTTTGAACCTGGGAGACAGAGGTTGCAGTGAGCCGAGATCGTGCCACTGCACTCCAGCCTGGGTGACAGAGCGAGACTCCGCCTCAAAAAACAAATTTTTTTTTCAATAAAATTGATAACCTATAAAACTGATCAAGGAAAAAAAAAGCCCAAAACACATAAGATACAAATTTTCAATATCAGGAATCAGAGAGCAGACATCACTACATATCCTAAAGACATTAAAAGGATAATAAGGGAATACTATGAACAACTTTACTCCAATTAATGTGATTACTTAGATGAAACGGACAAATTCCTCAAAAGATACAAACTATCAAAGCTCACTAAAATAAATAACATGAATAGTCTTATATCTATTAAATAAATTGGATTTGTGGTTAAAAACCTTCCCACAATGCGAACTGCAGACCCAGATAGCATCACTAGAGAACTGTACTGAACATCTAAAGAAATGTTACGAAATCAGCCAGGCATGGTGGCTCACGCCTGTAATCCCAGCAGTTTGGAAGGCTGAGGCGGGTGGATCACGAGGTCAAGAGATTGAGACCATCCTGGCCAACATGGTGAAACTCCATCTGTAGTAAAAATATAAAAATTAGCTGGGCATGGTGGTGTGCGCCTGTAGTCCCAGGCTAAGGCAGGAGAATGGCTTGAACCCAGGAGGCAGAGGTTGCAGTGAGCCGAGATCGCGCCACTGCACTCCAGCCTGGCGACAGAGTGAGACTCCATCTCAAAACAAAAAAGAAAAAGAAAAAAAAGAAATGTTACGAAATCTACACAAACTCTGCCACAAAACAAGAAACGATATTTCCCAGTTCATTCAATAAGGCCAACCTTATCCTGATATCAAAACCAAGGTCATTAGGAGAAAACAAAACTACAGAACAATAGCCTTCATGAACACAGATGCAAAATTCCTTAAAAAAATTTTTTTAATTAAATCCATCAATATTTTTAAAAGGACAATATATCATAATCCAGTGAAATTTATCCCAGGAATGCAAAGATAATTCAACACTGACAAATCAATCAGTTTCACCATATCAACAGACAAAAAAAAAAAAAAAAAAGCCTGTTTAATTTTGTTAACACTTGCAGTTCTAGGAAGTATTTGACCACAGAACACATCTTGGGAAGCACTGGTCTGTGCCATTACCAAACTAATGATAATCTAATAATATCACGATCCTAATAATTTGGCCTTGACAGGTCTACTCCTATCCTTAAGACAGGGAGTTCAGGACATCTGCCCCAGCTCCTTGCTTCATCCAATAATTCACTGAGTACATAACTCAGTGCATGGCACTGATCTGGATGATGAGAATAGAGCAGTAGACAAAACAGAAAAAATCCCTGTTCTCACAGAGCTTATGGCCCAGTTCAGCTATAGACAAGCATGTAACTTTAAAATTTCTAATCACCTATTTCTTGATCTTTTTTTTTTTTAACTTGTAGTCTCCTTCAGATTCCTAGATGTAAAATCCTCTGGGTTCATAATCAATCACCTTGCCTGGAGACTTGCCTTTAAGGCCCAAGGCCCAAGACTTTCCTTTAGAGGGAAGCTTCCCCAACAACACGTTTGTGAAAAAGCATTCATCACAAACAATGAAGACTTCACCAGATTGGCCAGAGTATGTTTTCAGTGCTTATGCTATGGCAATCAGGAGCATTTTATAGTTCTTCACTTTTCCTGCTGCAAGGCCAAGCTTTTATACTTGGATGAGCCATTTTCCTGGACAAATCTCTAAAGCAAGTCCCTTAAGACTATCACACAGAGATTAGAAATAATAACTTGAGGAAAGAACCTCTTCAAGAATCATGCACGGATCTGAGTTAAGGAGGTAGGGGACTGAATTTTCAACCAGTCAATATAAGCTGTCTGATCCTTGGATGACTTCATATTTATTTCATTTTAACTTTAGAAGACTTCATCAGTCATTTTTTACTTGAGTAAAAGAGAGGCACCTTGAACAGCTTTAGGAAATGAAAATCTGCTCTCCCATGAACTGATGCATTTTTTAACATCCTACAGGATGAAAAACAAATCTAGTAAAAGGATTGCATTAACAGCTATGTAAGAGTTTGAAAGGGCCTGGCGAGGTGGCTCACGCCTGTAATGCCAGCACTTTGAGAGGCCGAGGTGGGCGGATCACGAGGTCAGGAGTTCTGAGACTAGCCTGGCCAAGAGACCAGGCTTGCCAATATGGTGAAACCCCCTCTCTACTAAAAATACAAAAATTAGCTGGGCATGGTGGCGGGCACCCATAATCCCAGTTACTTGGGAGGCTGAGGCAGGAGAATTGCTTGAACCCGGGAGGCAGAGGTTGCAGTGAGCCGAGATCGCGCCACTGTACTCCAGCCTGGGCGACAGAGCAAGACTCCAACTCAAAAAAAATAAAAAGAGTTAGAAGGGTCTTTTAAATCATTTGAACCTTCTGTTGTCTACTGGAAATCCTTCTACAGCATTCTTGATTCACAGTCAACCATCTGGGCCTCTGTTCAAACAAGACCAATGACCTTGTAAGGCTACCTATCCCACCGGAGGACAATTCTTGTTAGACTCTTATTTTGCTAAACTTAAAATCTGCTTCATGTAACATTCATTGAACATTATTCTGCCCACTGGAATACCTTCTTTTCTTCACAGTTGCCCCTCAAATACCTGAGAAGAATCACCCTGTCTTCTCTTTTCCAGGCTAAGCATCCCTACTTCCTTCAACCATTCTTAACAGTTTCTAAAGCTTTCATAAGGCTCACTGCCTACCTCTGAATACATTCCAGTTTGTCAGTGTCCTTCAGAATAGGAATAACTTTTTGGCTTAATGCTCATATGGAAACCTATTCTATGGCATGTGGCTGAGTTGGGTAAATATTATCCTTATCTCACCTGATACTGCATATAAAGATAATTTTTTAAAATGATGATTCCAGGATACTCACATAGGTAAGGAAAAGCTACATTTAAGATCCTAAATATGATTACAGAACATGGGAATAATATATGAAAACATTAAAGAAAAAGAGAAAAGATAGCTGATACTGCTGATATGGACAGACATGCAGGTATTTTACTCCCTAATCAAATACATGTGAAAACACAAAACAAATAATTTTGCCAGTGCAATCCAATACAAGTATATTGATTTGAATCAACATTGCTGAAAACAGTTCTGTTTTTCAAAATGAAAAGTTACACATACATTTTCACATCTCAGTTACACTAGAATGTCATACTTTGATACTGTGATGTAACAAATTTTAAAATGAAAGTTACAGGCTGGGTGCAGTGGTTCATTCCTATAATCCCAGCACTTTGGGAGGCCGAGGTAGGTGGAATCACTTGAGGTCAGGAGTTCGAGACCAGGCTGGCCCAACATGGTGAAACCCCAACTCTACTAAAAATACAAAAGTCAGCCAGGTGTGGTGGCATGCACCTGTAGTCCCAGCTACTTAGGAGGCTGAGGCAGAAAAATCGCTTGGACCTGGGAGGCGGAGGTTACAGTAGGCTGAGATCGCGCTACTGCACTCCAGCCTGGGTAACAGAGTCAGACTCTGTCTCAAAAAAAAATAAAATTAAAATAAAATAAAATAAAATAAAATAAAATAAAATAAAATGAAGGTTATAGAAAGTACAACTATCACATTATAAAAGAGTTTTAAAATGCAAACATCAGGGATTTAGTTGATATCACAAGGGAACCAAGAAAAATCAGAGGCTAACTTAGGATAAAAGAGTGAAGGAATTTTCCTGATGATTTAGTAATCCTCCAAATGATAGTCAATTTTCCCTCTAGAATCATTAAAAAACAGCCTATACAAAACATATGGTAGCAACCAAGTGGAACCCAATCACCAAGAAATGAATAAAACTGTAAATGTTTCTCTTTTCTTTTTTTTGTTTTGACTTCCCTCTTAATTTCTAATTTTCAAACAAAACATATACTTTAAGTTTGTAAATCCAAATGCCATAAGCACAACATTTTTTTAATAGGGGAAAAGATTCTACTTAAAAACATTACCAAATATACCAACAATTACCAAGTGTCAAAAAATTAAGATATTAAAAAATACAAATTTAAAGAACATAACTAATATTTCATTGGCAATTAAGAAGATACTTCATACCTTAGGGACTCAAGAATATCATTGTCAGTATTTGTGTTCTTTCTATATTTTTTCAAAGCCCTTTAAAAACAAAACGCTTGTGGAATTACTGTTCACTTTTCGGAATTCAGGTAAAAGAGTAATTATAGAGAGAAGCTCTTATTTGCTGTAGTGAGAACTGTTAGAAAGAGAACCAGACACCATAAGAAGAAACCACAAGTAGAAGTCTATAATAAAATTGAAATTCGAATTTGAATCCAACTTGTTAAAATGGTGTAACTGGCATTACTTGGTTGTTCTGAGTAAAGCTTTCATATTTTCTAGAAACATCTTCCCTACTGCTTTGAGTTGGCTTGCTTTGACTTATGACCGATTCGGCTTACCCAATATTCCAGCAACCCTGAAAGGCATTAAAAGGCATTTCTGCCATAGTGATAGAGAGAAATGCTATCACAGGTTGAGTACTCCTTATCTGAAACGTGCGGAAACAGAAGTGTTTTGAATTTTGGATTTGGGGGGATTTTGGATTCTCTGCATTACACTTAACCAGCTGAGCAACCCAAATCCAAAAATCCAAAATGCTCCAATGGGCATTTCCCTGGGGCATCATGTCTAAAAACTCCAAACGTTTTAGATTTTGGATTTCCGATTTTCCAATTTGGGATGCTCAACCTGTTCTAGGAGATAAGTGGTCTGAGAAGAACTGAATTGCTGATGTTTTATTTCTATAATTGGTCAGAGGTATTATTATAAAAGCCCGGGGCAGTATACATCTGAGGCAGAGAGGACATTCATTCATTTACAGCCACTACTATTATAACAGATAATGTGCTAGGCCAAGAGTTGACTGGGATTGACACAGCTAACAAATACCCCTCCATAATAAGAATTACAATAGATCGTGGGCTTAATTACTTAATAAAAAGATGCTGATTAGTAAAATTTTAATGAAAATCCCTTATAAAATATGGGTTCATCGGAAAGTAATGCTTCCTTAAGAATGTGGCCCATCAGAACATTTGGCCCATCTGACCCCTCAGAAGTCGTCTATATATGACATAACATGCAGCAAGGGCCTGGAAAGCCCAGTCTTGTTGCCATGCCTGCTACTATGAGACGCTTCTAAGGAATCAGGTGGAGGGACTAGTTCAGTCCCACATGTTGCATAGATCTGACTGGAAGCAGTGAGGGGTTGTGGCACATGGGCAGAGATATTTTGGAGAAGTTCTCAGAATAATATATGGACCTTGAGAGCTTACTCAGAGGTTCTGGCAGTGGAGTGCAGCTACTTATATACCCTTGATCAAAGAATGGTCCTCCTGTATTGGAGAAGGTCATCCTCTTCAATCAAGAACACAGCTTCAAAAAGGTCACACATGGAGTGGTCAGGAAGGAAGGGAACACCTGCCTATCCAGCCAGATCAGCCGAATCAACCCTAGTGATCAATGCGGTGACAGATGTCACAGCCAGATCGTCCTCACATCCAAAATAATGTATGAATTCCATGAAAGCAATGCAGAAGCTTTAAAAAATCTATGAGGAGCAGAAAGCACAATGCCCAAAAGGAAAAATGAGAAGAACTTAAAGGACTTTACCCATTTACTGTATTTCAAAGGTCCTGTGAATCCCATGGCTTCTATTATCTTTGTGAAAGCACCAATCTTCTCCTCAACAGGCTGTGGGGAACCTTTGGTAGTAGAAAGCTGATTAATCAAAAAGAAAGAAACTAAAATTAGTTGCAAAAAAATTTTAATAGAATGCTTTGTTCCTCATCAGGTCTGAGAGAATTTTTTTTTTTTTTTTTTAAATACAGTCAGAGTCTCCTCCTTTCACCCAGGCTAGAGTGAAGTGGCACAATCATAGCTCACTGCAGCCTCAAACTTCTGGGTTCAAGTGATCCTCCTGCCTCAGCCTCCCAAGTAGCTGGGATTACGGGTGCATGCCATCACGCCAAGTCAATTTTTAAAATTTTCTGTGGAGGTGGGGTCCACGGCCTGTTGTTCTGTGGAGAGCAGGATCCACAGCCTGTTGCCTAGGCTGGTCTCAAACTCCTGGCCTCAAGCAATCTTCCTGCTTCAGCCTCCCCAAATGCTGGGATTACAGGTGTGAGCCACCATGCTCGGGCTGAGGGCATTTTTATTGCTTAGATTTTTGTTTTCACCTACAATTTTTAATTTTCATTTTTTTAAGCATCTTATCATTCAGTGAAAACACATTTGGAACTGGACCTAATAGATGCCCTCCAAATTTCAGAGCAAGACATGCCCACCTCATTGACTGTATGTCTATTAACCCATATCTAGCAGATGACGGATGTGGGGTATTAGAATAAAAGTTCTATCAAAAAGAGGACTTTCAAAAGGAAATCTTGACCCCCATCTCCCAAGAACAATTCTGAGAAGTAAAACATTCTATGCTTATTGATGTAATAGGAAAAGGAAAAAAAAATACTGCCTGAAAGCAGTCAAAAGTCATTCAAAACTGCAATCAAGTACTGAATGTTTTTAAACTCTTGCATTTTTTAAGTAAATGCAAGAGTTTCACAAATTTTATTAATGACTACAGAAAATATGAGTCTTGTAGTTTGCAAATAACCTCCAAGGAAAGTCTGTTCTAATGTTAACCCTCTCCAAGAAAAGGCAAGCTATTTAACCAATAAAAAATTATCCAAAAGTTAAATATCACTTTATTTTTAACATGTAAAAAATTCATACGTTTTCCTCTTAAGTGTTTTCCGGACAAGACAATGGAAGAATAGGTCCAAATATTCAGGCTGGCATGGTGGCTCACACCTATAATCTCAGTAATTCCAGTACTTTGGGAGGCCGAGGTGGGAGGATCACCTGAGCCCAGGAGTTCAAGGCTGTAGTGAGCCATGATCATGCCACTGCACTCCACCAGGGCAACAGAGCAAGGCCTCATCTGTTAAAAAAATTTTTTTAAACAATCCCAGCACTTAGGGAGGCTGAGGCAGGCGGATTGCTTGAAGCCAGGAGTTTGAGACCAGCCTAGGTAACAAAACGAGACCTTGGTTTCTAAAAAAATTTAAAAATTAGCAGTACACAGTGGTGCATGCCTGTAAGTCTCAGCTATTCAGAAGGCTGAGGCAGGAGGATAGCTTGAGCTTGGGAGTTCGAGGTTACAGTGAGCTATGATGGCACCACTGTACTCCATCCTGGGTGACAGAGCAAGATCTTGTCCCTGAAAAAAAAAAATTCATTTTGTCTGCCACTTACTTAGCATCCTTGTGACCTTGGGCAAGTCACTTTACCCCCTGAGCCTCACCTTCTGCATTCGCTAAAACTCAAACTCAGCTAGCTAACAATTTTGTTGAGATCCAAACAACACCTGTGTGAAAGCACTCTATAAAACGTAGAATGCACTGATAATTCTCACCTTATGTGTGGCGTGATACTTCCTATTCAGCTGTATGTCTATTCCAGGAATCTGTTCTGATCCACATACTTGGGACTGGCTCATCTGGGGCCACTGAAGAATAGAAACATAGATCTATGCAACACTGAGCACTTACAGGGTTAATCTGAGCAGAGCTGTTTCAAAGTAAAGACTATAGGATCTTTCCAACCTTACTTAGCCTACTTCCCAGTGATCAGCTCATCAAGAAGATCTAAGATCAGCACCTACAAGGGTGTCTACTACATAGCAGATGCCTAATACATATCTGTTGAATACCTGAAGAAATAAAAGAATTTGGGCCAAGCACAAGAGCTCACACCTGTAATTCCAACACTTTGGGAGGTCAAGGTGAGAGGACTGCTTGAGGTCAGAGGTTTAAGACTCAGCCTGGGCAACAGAGCAAGACTCTATTTCTACAATTTTTTTAATTGGCTGGGTGTGGTGGTGCATGCCTATAGTTCTAGCTGCTCAGGAGGCTGAGGTGGGAGGATCACTTGAGCCCAGGAGATCAAGGCTGCAGGGAGCTATGATCACTTCAGCCTGGGTGACACAGCAAGAGGCAAGACGCATTGTTTGGTTAAAAAAAAAAAAAAAAAAAAAGGAGAGGAGTGAATTCAAAGGCTGGGGTGGCGTGGCTCATACCTGTAATCCCAGCACTTTGGGAGGCGAGGCGGGTGGATCACTTGAGGTCAGGATTCCAGAGCCTGGCCAATATGGTGGAAACCCATCTCTTACTAAAAATACAAAAAATTAGCAGGTGTGGGTGGCACACACCCGTAATCCCCAGTTACTCAGGAAGCTGAGCAGGGAGAATAGCTTAACCCAGGAGTGGGAGTATCATGCCACTGCACTCCAACCTGGCAACACAGCAAGAATCGGTCTTGGCGGGGCGCGGTGGAAGCCTGTAATCCCAGCACTTTGGGGGTGGGCGGGTGGCGGAGACGGGGGATCACGGAGTCAGGATCGAGACCATCCTGGCGAACACGGTGAAACCCCGTCTCTACTAAAAATACAAAAAACTAGCCGGGCAGGTGGCGGGCGCCTGTAGTCTCAGCTACTCGGGAGGCTGAGGCAGGGAGAATGGCGTAAACCCGGGAGGTGGAGCTTGCAGTGAGCTGAGATCTGGCCACTGCACTCCAGCCTGGGGCGACAGAGCCAGACTCCATCTCAAAAAAAAAAAAAAAAAAAGGATCGGTCTCAAAAAAAAAAAGAATTCAGCCCTGGAAACCTGGAACTACATCTAAGTCAACTCTAGGAAACAGAATTGTAGTAAGTATCTATTTAAATATGGGCAGCAGTAAAGTGTATCAGGAAAAAAAAACAAAGACACCCGTCACTTTTAGGTTTAAAACCTGCTTCTGCCACCTGCAACAAGCTCAGTGGCCATGGAAAACTTACTGAACCTCAGTTGCAGTAAGGATGAAAGAAGATAAGATATATAAAGTGCCTTTCACAAAATAGGCACTCAATAAATAGCAGAAGTTTCCATCATCACTATCATCATCGACACTATTGTTTGGATCACAATCGCCACCTTTTTAATGTTCACATTGCATTTAAAAGCAATTTGGCAATAAAATAGCCATTATTATGTGCCAGATACTATACAGAATGAAAACTGGGAGGAAAGTTCACTAAGGAGATGGTTAATTAAAGTTCAGTCACTCAGTGGAAAATCAGGTATCCACTGAGGATTTTTTGTTGTTTTGTTTTTGTTTTTTGAGACAAGGTCTGGCTCTAGTGCCCAGGCTGGAGTGCAGTGGCGCAATCCCAGCTCACTGCAACCTCCACTTCCCGGGCTCAAGCAATTCTCGTGCCTCAGCCTCCTGAGTTGCTGGGACTACAGGCATCTGTCATCACACCCTGCTGATTTTTGTATTTCTGTAGAGACAGTGTCTCCCTATGTTGCCCAGGCTGGCCTCAAACTCCTGGGCTCAAGTGAGTGATCCTCCTGCCTTGAACTCCCAAAATGCCTTGAACTTCCAAAATGGGATTACAGGCATAAGCCTGGGTGCCTGGCTGGGATTTTTTTTTTTTTTTTAAACAGCAGTTTTAGGCTCATAGCAAAACTGCTTGGAAAGGGCAGAGTTCCCACATACCCCTTCCCCTACATGCACAGCCTCCCCGGCCATCAACATCCCACACCAGGGTGGTGCATTTGATACAAAGTATGAACCTAGACTGACACATCATCATCACTCAGAGTGCACAGTTTACTTAGAGATTATTATTGTTGACATGAAAAAATGCTTATAATATGTATAAAATTATAGGTTAAAAACATGACTGCATAGACTGCATATAGGTAAGTTTAGAAAGAACACACAAGAAACCAGAGAGTTATTTTGTTCAGTTAGAATTATGGATAAAAGTAAGAATCTATAGCCAAAATAATTCTGGCAAAAAAAATAAAATAAAATAAAATAATCTAGCTTCCAAACTCTCACTAATGCTTTATTACCTTTACAATAAAAAGAGGTGAGAGGGAGCAGGAAGAGGACTGACCCTTCAATTCTGGTTTATTCCAAGAAGAAATGGAACACATGGAATGAAAATTATTTTTTTTATTTAACCCTAATGAAGAAAAAATAGAATTTCTAATTGTGGAATGTTACTATTTACTTTTCTTTCCAAACAAGGATATTAAAAGATTAGTCAGGATTCTTCTGGTCAGTCCCAAGGACACTTAGGCTTTAATTCATAAGTATCAAGCAGGCTTTGTAAAACACAGACTAAACACAGAACACCTCCCCATTACATCACATACATCAATGCAATGGTCCATCTAAAACACAAAGCACTTAAACTGGTTCAAAGAACACAGCCAACAGCAGTTTCCACAAGCTGTGCTTTGGGCTGGGTCCTCTTCTGTTAGGTTCTATGAGATCCTTCTTTTTCCTCACAGCTCCAGGAGTAACCAGTGGATTTCTTCTGTGGCTGTCCTACCATCCACTGTATTTCTATCCTACCATTATTCATGAGCTAACATTCCACACTATATTGAACTACTAAAGTACCTATGTATCTAATATCAAAGACAACATCTAGTTTCTCCACACCTACACACTTATAAACACACACATTTACTTTTTTGTACTACCCACTCTTGTCCTTGCACTTCCCACAAAAAAAATCACTCGACCCTTAAAGACCTCAATTTTTCCTTTGCTTAGATTAAAAAACATCAATAGGCTGGGCGTGGGCTTATGCCTGTAAACCCAACGCTCTGGGAGGCCGAGGCGGGAGGGCTGCCTGAGTCCAGGAGTTAGAGACCAGCCTGGGCAACATGGCAAACCCCCATCTCTACCCCCCTCCAAAAAAAACAAAAATTAGCCAGGCATGTGCCTGTAATCCCAGCTACTCAGGAGGCTGAGGCAGGAGAATCGTTTGAACCCAGAAGGTGGAGGTTACAGTGAGCCAAGATCATGCTACTGCACTTCAGCCTGGGTGACAGAGCGAGGCTCTGTCTCAAAAAATAAAAATAAAAATAAAAAAACAAGAATGACAGAGGCAGAGAAGTAGAAAGGGGGTGCTGGGATGAACTCAAGCAATTCTTGAATACCATGGGTGTGTGCGTCTGCTCCTTTTAGCAACTATAAGCTCCACCAGGGCACAGCCCATCTTATACATCTTTCATTTTCTGTCCCAGTGCTCAACACCATTCTGGGCATGAAGTCACTACTCAATAAAAACTAGGTGGATATTTTTTTTTTCAAAGAGGACAACTTTGGAGAACATCCAAAAAAAGAACCACAGGAATGATCAAAGAGATGAATAAAAGGTCCTAGTGGAAAGGTCAAAAGGAATTTAGGCTGTTTAGCTTGGAGAAAAGGCAACTGAAGAACTAAATAGTAACTCAGAATAACAGCACTTGAGCTGGAAGAAATCTCAGAGATATTCTGGTCCAACCTTTTCACTTCACAGATGAGGAAACTAAGACCAAGGGAGAGGTTGCAATTTGGTAAAGGTAATTTTAGGACAACTTTTTTTTTTTTTTTCAGTTTCATTTCAAACAGAGAGGAGAAAACTTTCCCAAGTAACAGGAACATAAATAGCAACAAAAATAGCAATTGCAACTTACTGAAGATCTCCTGTATGCCTAGTACCTACCTACATGCTTGGTGTTTTACTTACGTTATCTCACAACAATCTTATAAAGTATATTTTCCTATTTCTTTTTTTATTTTTTTGAGACAGAGTCTCGCTCTGTCGCCCAGGCTGGAGTGCAGTGGCATGATTTCGGCTCACTACAACCTCCACCTCCTGGGTTCAAGCAACTCTCCTGCCTCAGCCTCCTAAATAGCTGGGATTACAGACGTGTGCCACCACGCCAGCTAATTTTTGTATTTTTTTCAGCAGAGACAGGGTTTGACCATGTTGGCCAGGCTGGTCTCAAACTCCTGACCTCAAGTGATCAGCCCACCTTAGCCTCTCAAAGTGCTGGTATTACAGGCATGAGCCACCACACCTGCCCTCCTATTTCTTTCTTTCTTTCTTTTTTTTTTTTTGGAAGTTAGGTCTTCGCTGTGTCCCCAGGTGGAAGTACAGTGGCTGTGGTCACTGGGTCCTGCAACCTTTGAAGACCCAACTGTTAAGGGATCCTCCTGACTAGCCTCCTCAGTACCTGGGAACGACAGAGGAATCCAGTATTCTTGGGATTTTTGTTGAGACTGAGTCTTGCTGTGTTACTGCATAGCTGTCTCCAATTCCCGCCCTCAAACAATCCTCCCACTTTGGGCCTCCGAAAGTGCGAGATTACAGGGGCATGAGCCACTGTGCCTTGGCATTCGTTATAGAAAAATATGTACACTCTGTTTTAAGCTTGCAGTAAATGGAACTTTTCTCTCTTTAACAGCCCCAAAATCATACATCGGACATGCCGTATTTTACTTTTTCGGTTTTTTTTTTGTTGTTTGAAAGGAGTCTCCGGCTCTGTCACCGCAAGGCGCTGTACATGCAGTGGTGTGATCTCGGCTCACTGCCACCTCTGCTGCTTGGGGTTCAAGCGATTCTCGTGCCTCAGCCTCCAATAACCTGGATTACAGAGTGTCTGCCACCATAACCCCAGCTAG